AAGCAAGCGAGCGAAAGCCAGAGCAAGAGCGTGACGAGACCGTGCGAGCGAGTGAGTGATTGCGAGTTCAATATGAATAACATGGACATATATATATATACTATGTGAAATGAATGAGTAATAGAATCGAATAAGCGGTTAGTGGTAAGACTAGCAGAATGAATAAATGCGTAGGCAGTAATCAATATTCAAGCATACGTATTTCATACAAGCTCAAAATAATAATAAGGATACGATAAATTGTTATAGTGCGGATGGCTTTGTCCGCTAAATAAGTTAACAAAAAGGGCTTAACTGGGTTAAATGAAAATAAACCCATTTGCACGTGAGTCGCTATAATAGCTCCCCCCTGCAAACAAAGATATATGGAAAATGTCTGTGTTTGCATAAAAAAATAGTAGACTGAATAGGGTAGAAAAATGGCTTATACAAAATTAAGGTGAAGTTAGTGTGTGCTGTACATTTAGTTTGTGCCCGTCCGTGAGGTTACATAAAATAATAGCAAGAAATAGAAGGAATGTGGTATTGTCTTTACATTTTAAACAAAAAATTATACGCGTAAGTGTAAGGGTACATAAGATACGTTGAGTTTTATAGCGTATAACATGATCTTAATAATGCATGTGTATACGATGAGGTAGAAGTTATAATTAATATTTAAAACAGTAGAAGATCATTAATAAAAAATCGTAGCGACATATTGTTGGGGCCATCTTACTCTGCGGCCGGATCTTGTTGTTATCGGAGTTTCGTCTTTTTGTTGCGTTAACGTTGTTGATTTTTGGGACTCGTGTTTCGCTGGTGTTACCATCTTAGATGGGTCTGTACTTGTTGATTGATTATCGCTATCGATGAAAGCTGGCTTTACTCGATCGATGCTAATTACATCTGTCTTCCCAGCTTTTTCTATGGTAACCGTTTTATTTGTCCTCTCTATCACTTTAAATGGTCCGTCGTAACTCGGTTGAAGGGGTGGTTGTACTTTATCTCTTCTAATGAATACGTGAGAGCTGTTATGCAGTTCCTGTGGTATGAATACTCGTCGTTGTTGTGGTCTGGGAGGTGTTATTTTTAAATCGCTCATGTGCTTTCTCAGGCGTTGCACATAGCCGGTTACATCAGTCGGGACATTTTTAATTGAAGTGAAAAATTCTCCGGGTAACCGTAGAGTAGTTCCGTAAACTAACTCGGCTGGACAACATCCCATGTCTTGTTTAATAGTTGCTCTTAGAGCTAACATTACTAGGGGAAGTTTATTAAACCAATCGTTGTTAACGATGACGGCTGTAAGGGACGCTTTTAATTGCCTATGTAGGCGTTCGACCATTCCGTTTGCCATTGGATGGTACGATGTCGTTCGGATTCGTTTAATACCGAGGAGTTCTGTAAGCTGCTGAAAGAGTCGACTTTCGAATTGTACTCCTCTATCAGTTGTGATAATCGTTGGTACACCGTAGTAAGAAATCCAATTTTCAACTAGGGTTTTAGCTACCGTTTCAGCTGAGGTGTCTTTTATCGGCACTGCTACCGGCCATCGTGTAAACCTATCGATGCATGTAAAGATATAGTTGTATCCATTTGAAACGGGCAGTGGTCCTACAATATCGATGTGTATATGTTCAAATCTAGTGTCTGGGTGCGAAAACGGACCTACTGCAGAGCTAGTATGACGATGTACCTTAACTTTTTGGCACCTCATGCATGCTTGTGTCCAATTACGTACATCGTGATTCATGTTTGTCCATACGAATCGTTCACTAATCAGCTTTATCGTGGCTTTTATTCCTGGGTGCGACATGTTGTGCATGCTTTCGAATATTTTGTGTCGCAACGTTTTCGGGATAAATGGTCGCGGTCGGCCTGTTGATGTATCGCAAATTACTTTCGTGTTACCAAACCGCACCTCTTCGAGTACTAATGATGTTGTACCACTGGATCTGAGTTTATTTAACTCGATATCTCTCTCCTGTAACTTTGCCAGACCGTTATAATCAATTCCACTTGCCATAAGTGTGCTTATCGTTGCTCGTGACAATGCGTCGGCCACATCGTTTTCTTGTCCTTTAACGTACTGTATATCGGACGTGAACTGTGAAATGAACTCTAGTTGTCGGATCTCTCTCGGGGAATAATTGTCTTGCTTTGCGCTTAATGCTTTCGTTAGCGGTTTGTGGTCTGTATAGACGGTAAAACTTATGCCTTCGACCATATGACGGAAGTGTTTTATTGCTAAGTAGATTGCTAATAATTCTCGTCCAAACGTACTATATCTCGTTTGGGTAGGATTTAATCTTTTCGAGAAAAATGAAAGTGGCTCCCATACACCGTTTACTAACTGCTGCAAAACGGCTCCTACTGCTAAGTTCGATGCGTCTGTCATTACTGCTAATGGCGCTTCGTTCTTTCGTCGTACTAACATCATCTTCTCGTTTAGCGCTCGCTTAGCGTTCTCAAAAGCCCGTATAGCATCCGCTGAAAGATGGAATGTTCGAGTATGTCCTCGCAAGGCGTCCGTCAATGGCTGTAATATTGCTGCGCAGTTTGGGATAAATCGTCTATAATAGTTTATTAGCCCCAAGAATCGTCGTAATTTTCTTTGTGAATCGGGCAACGGATAATTACGAATAGCAGCAACTTCTGTCGGAACTGGCATGATACCACGTGAATTTATCATATGACCTAGGAATTGCAATGATTCCTTTCCAAATTCACACTTTTCCACGTTAATAGTGACGCCATGTTTTTGAAGTCTCGTAAACAACTGTCGTAGATGTTGTAGATGTTCTTCCCTGGTAGAGCTAGCTACTAGCATATCATCGATATATGCGTGAACTCCTGTCAATCCCCTGACGACCTGATCGATGAATCTTTGGAAGGTTTGGGCTGCATTAGTTAATCCGAAGGGCATTCGCAAAAACTCGAATAACCCAAATGGATTAGTTATAGCCGTTTTAGATATATCTTCTGCCGCTACGGGAATATGGTAATAAGCTCGAACGAGATCGATTTTCGAAAATATCGTGGCACCTTCCATATTGGTAGTAATGTCGTGGATATGTGGTATCGGATATCTGTCTGCTATCGTTTGCTTGTTAAGGGCTCTATAGTCTCCGCATGGCCTGATTTCCCCATTCTTCTTCGAAACCATATGCAATGGGGACGCCCAGGGACTATTAGAAGGTCTTATGATACCAAGCTTCGTCAACTTTTCGAACTCTCGTTTCGCGACATTCAACCTTTTCGGGTCTAGCCTTCGTGGTCTTGATTTAATCGGTGGACCTTTCGTTATAATATGGTGCTGTACCGTGTGTTTAAGATCTCTGTTATCGTATGATACCTTCGTCAGATCGGCATACTCGTTTAGAAGCGATCTATATGGCTCGTTTTTGTCTTTTGACACTACTAAATTCATGGATGCGTGATCAGTCGTCACTCCTCTTATCACTACTGAACGGTCGCCGTTCACGAGCCGGTTTCGTCGGGTATCCAGTAGTAAGTCGAAATTCTTTAAGAAATCAATACCAATTATAGGTACGGATACATCTGCGATAATGAATTCCCAGCGGAATGAGGTAGTACGACCAAAATTCAGGGTTACTTTTCGCTTGCCATATGTTTTTATATCGGATTTATTTGCTGCCTTAAGCGTTAGCGCTGTATCGATATTTCGTGTTTCGTTACTTACTGGAGGGACGACGCTTACTTCTGCTCCCGTATGCACTAAGAATTGAGCGCCTGTTACTCTATCCTGAACGTAAAATAAACGACTGTTTCTAGGAGCTGTTGTAGTTGTTGCGGCGGTTATCGACAATCGGTGTGTTCGTTTGAATTTACATGGTGATCTACAGTTTCGAGCTTTATCGCCGAAAGTTTGATGGTACCAACATATTGTAGGAGCTGAGCGTCTCCTAGAACGTGATCGACTTCTTTCCCTTGATCTACTTCGTGACCATCCTCTTTGCGTATCGCTTTGATTTAGTTTCATCAGCTTGTGGCATAAAACATTAATCTCCTTTTGTAATGCATCGATCCGTCCATCTACTGCGGTACTATGCCTTTGCGGACTCGTTTGTTTCATTCTCTCATAAATCCTATCGGCTATTTTAGCAATGTTGTCTATATCGATATCGCTGTCCTCAACCGCAAGGATCTGCTGCACGTTCGCTGGAAGTCGTCGTAACCACAACTGATAAAATATGTTTTTATCTACTTTTCTGTCATCGATTATGCTTCTCATATAGTTTTTTAGTTGAGATGGAGTCCTATCTCCTATCTGCACTTGACTGAGAAGTTGTTCGATGGCTTGCCGGTCGCTTAATGAGACGGCTTTAATCACTGCCTGTTTTAATGCGTCGTATGGCTTTTCTATGTCTGGCTTGATTAAAATCTCTCGTACACTATCTGCTACTTCATCTGGAAGTAGCGAGCTCGCGTGGCCAAATTTATCTCGCTGTGTATGAACACGATTAGCTACAAAGTAATGTTCAAGTCTGATAAACCAAAGTTGAGGATCTGTGACCTTAAAAGGAGGAATAGTTACATTAATGGACCTCACGGACGGCGTTTGGGGAATTTCTATTGTATCGTTACTTAAAGACATATTCATAAATATCAAAAAGTACACAAATATAATGCGAATGTCACAGAGAAAAGTGAGTCGATAAAAACAATGATAAAAACAAATGGTACAATTTATAACAAAGAACGGACTTACTAAATTGCACCAAAATATCAATTGTTTGTAAAAAATATCGTTGTTTATTACGAATATTATCGTTATGTTCTATAATGTTTGTGAGATAATGTACGTATAATTAAAATAATGAGATAATAAATCCACAGTTATAATTATAATCCAAATGATAGTTACAATTGTAATCGAGTACGTTGGATTTTAGGAATTGGATTACGACGTCCAAGATTGTTTCGTGTTCGAGCGTCGGGCTCGCCAATTATGTGGTGGTCGGTATTCGATATAATCCTATGTTGATACGACACACAGATTGAGACTGAAAGTCAAGCACACCACACACTAAGTCAATTTTGTACAGTTCATTAATGTATATTCGTTCATATATAAAATTAGATTCTAACGTCAATTCATTGACGATAAACCAACATCATAAAGGTATTCAGACATTTTACAATCTTACGATATTTTATTTATACTTAGCGTCCAAAGTATCAAATCCATCTAACTATACATCAACCACATTGGACGTGAGACCGTTATCCACCTCAGGCAATGGAAGATATTTACGCAACATTATGAACTGATTAAAATCGGACATTAACATCATTGGGTCCTGGTTCAATGATCGAAAGATTGAGTGTTCACACGTGAGACTAAAGGTATTAGGTTCAATTCTAGGATGTGAAGTCATTGATATGCACTCCTGAAAAGTTCTATACAAGGGAAAAACAGCTATCTAATATCTTCTGGTTTAGCTAAAATCTATTCATGATTTATAACTAAAAAAACTGTAATTTCCACAAAATCATAGGCTGATAAAATGTATATATGCATAAGGAGATAATAAATTAATTTAATCATTGAATTCATGAATCAATTATAGCTAGAACACCAATGAAAACTTAGAAGTACTGAATAACCATTTCATCCTAGTATGGAACTCTTCAACAGTACTCATCTATCATCCCATCCACAGGATTCAAACCCAGGACCTATATATTTCACACATGAACACTTAACATCTAGATCACTGAGTCAGTATCCAACATCTCCATTAAAACCTCCTACTGATAATAATTATCAGAAGGGGTTTTTGTGGAGATTTTAGAAACTTCACTGATTGAAATCATGAATCAATTGAAGCTAGACCACCATGAAAAACCTGGAAGCACTGGACAGCCGTTTCGTTCGTTAAGTGCCTGACGCAAGACTGTTAGGTCCTGAGTTCGAATCTCGTGGGGTGCGGGATTGTGGATACTCACTGCTGAAGAGTCCCATACTGGGACGAAACGGCCGTCCAGTGCTTCCAGGTTTTCCATTGTAGTCATTGAATTATATGATAAAGCATTACTTACATCAAGATAATTTAAATTATTTTCAAATTGACTTTGTAATTCACCTAAAATGGTGATACAATTTTCTTTAATTAAATTTTCAATTTCATCCATTGAATTGATCAATTTACGATGTAACAATTGATTCTATTTATGAATAATAAAGAGAAATTTATAATAAAAGAAAACAAAATAACGATTGAAAGAAAATGAATGAGAACAGAGAAACAATGAAGTTATGACAAACACAATGAGGGGGCGGGGGGACGTTATTTTATCTAGATGAAACCATGTAAAACAGTAACATCTACTTTTGTTCCTAATCTATTCTACAGATCATAAGCTTTCGTTTGATATATGGTTCATTGTCATATTGTTTTCTGTTCCAAATCTATTATAGTTTAGATGTAACATTTAGTATTGTATTTTCTTAACCTAATCAATATCCATTGGCCGGATAACATCAGTAACAGACTTCTATGGAACTGGACAAACCAGCTTCCAATTGAAGAGGAAATTAGAAGATATTAGAAGTGGATAGGACATAAATTGACGAAAACATCAAACCACATCACGAGGCAAGCCCTAACTTGGAATCGTGAAGGGAAGCGGAAAAGAGGAAGGTCGAAGAACACACTACGTTGGGAGATGGAAGCAGATAAGAAAAGGATGAATAACAACTGGAAAGAGCTGGAAAGGATTGCCTAGGACAGGGTTGGATGGAGAGTGTTAGTGGGAACAGGCATAAATAAGTAAGTAAGAAATCCCCAGTTTTGCATATAATTGTATTTTTCTAATTGTTTGCGTGTTGTGGTCATGTTAATCATCTATACTACTCATGTATCTTTTTGCACTAATCTGAATCGGAACCGAATCGATGTGTTGTTATGAACGGGGAATTAAGAAGCCCAGACAATTACGAAAGCTATTTTCTTGGGACGTTATTGCATTTCATTCAAACCCTGTAAAATACTTATATTTATTTTTGTCCCTATCTTATTCTACATAACACGAGCTTTCGTTCTATGTATCATTCACTAGCATACCCTTTTTTGTTCCAAAAATATTGTAATTTAAACATTATATTTTGCACTATATTTTCTTCCCTAATTCCCTGTTTCGGGCATAACTGTATTTTTCCAAATTATCGTACGTCGTGGTCAAGATATGCACTTATTTATTCATGTACATTTTTGTAGTAATTCCGAATTCAGAGAATCCAGAGTTTAGTGTTCCAACTGTCTTGTCTTCTTCTCACTTGCGTGCTTGCCAACCAATCAGGATTTAGAATAGTTCTCTCTACCCCATCCCGAACTCACGCGTATTAGACTCAAGGTTAAGCCACTCAACGCGTCAAGGTCATAGTTTAGTCTAGACAGATCAAGGTGAAGTCATAACAAGTATCACGGGGTAAAGCGATTCAAGGTCATAACAACTGGCGACGGAGAATTTTTTTTCTCTTTCCTATTGATTGATCCAGTACAAAATGCCTGTATCATTGGATGACCTGAAAACTATTCTTCAAATGTAGCAAGCACAAAATGATGCAAATCAAATGAAGCTTTCGGATGCATTGGCACAAATGTTCTCATTACAGTCGTCCTCAGCTTGTCAATCAGATAAGCATGAAAGCATCATAAATTCTATTCCTGAATTCCAGTATTATCCTGAAGCTAATGTCATTTTCAGTTTGTGGTTTCACCGTTGTGAAGATATTTTCCGCGTTGAATGCTCGCATCTTGATGACGCAGCAAAAGTCCGCTTACTCTTAAGAAGACTGGGAACACAGGAATATAACAAATATGTGAATTTTATCTTACCGCAAAATCCACGAGGTCTATCATTCAAAGATACAGTCCAGATTTTATCTGATATTTTCGATGAACAGTCCTCATTATTTAATACTCGCTATAAATGTTTCCAAATAACAAAATTTCCAGAGGACGATTATCTCACGTATGCTGGGAAAGTAAATCGAGAATGCGAACGCTTCAAAATAAACGAAATCACAGCAGACCAATTTAAATGCTTGATTTTCATATGTGGTCTAAAGAATGAAGAAGATGCAGATGTCCGTACCAGGATGTTGGCACGCATTGAACAAGAACCAAATATGACATTACAAATGGTCACAACCGAATGTCAGCGGTTACTTAATCTCAAGCATGACACTGCGATGGTGCAACAGAAGGTTAAACCTTCCGGTTCTGATTCAATTAATGCGCTCCGATCCATAAAATCATCGAAACAAAACTGTACAAGCATAAAACAACCTGCCAATCCCCCATCACCATGCTGGTTCTGTGGAGCATGGCATTTTGCAAGATTCTGTCCGTTTAAGAATCATAAATGCCGCAAATGTCATCGCATTGGCCACAAAGAAGGTCATTGTTCGTTAAATAAACGCAATACTAAACATCGTAGTGAAAATTCAAAGCAACGATCAAATAGTCAAATTAAAACCACTTTTGCAACCTTTAAAGTTGGATTTAAAAGTAGGCGGAAATTTGTAAATCTATTAGTAAATGAAAAACTTATACGACTTCAGTTGGACACTGCTTCTGATGTCACGTTGATTTCAAAGAACACATGGCACAAGTTAGGATGCCCATCCATCCGACCGACGGAACATGTCGCCCGAAATGCGTCAGGAGACATAGTAAAGTTGACAGGAGAGGTCCTATGCAATGTTCAACTTATGGGAAGTAAATTTACAGATGTTTGTTATCTAACAAATCGACACGATTTAGATCTATTGGGATTAGACTGGATTGCACATGTTGATACTTTGAATAAATTATTAGATGAGGTATGTTCTCAAAATGTTTCCTATGAGTCTATCCAAATCCCTAATGATATTTCTAAATCAAATGCCTCCGACGAATCATCCTCTCTGGATATTAACGAATTAAATGCTTCTGATGAAACATGTTCTTATGATCTTTCTGAATCAAACAATTCAAATGTTGTGTGTTCTCACCATGTCAAATCAAATACTGCCTATTCATTCCCTTCTCATAAAATTTCCAAATCGAATACTTCAGACAAAGTATGCACTGGTGAAACTTCGGAATCTCATGTACTTCGTTCTAATGTTATGTCTACATCAAAGTCTTCTGTTTCCTCTCAATTTTCGTCCGTATCTTACATAAATCATCTTCGACAAAAACATGCATGTGTATTTCAAAACAAACTGGGCTGTTGTAAATTCACCAAAGTATCCTTATCACTAAAGGAAAATGCAAAGCCCATTTTCAGACCGAAACGACCAGTGCCTTATGCTGCTCTGTCAGTCGTTGACCAAGAATTAGACAGGTTAGAAGCACTAGGTATCATTGAGCCAGTAAATTATTCATCGTGGGCTGCCCCCATAGTGGTCGTGAGAAAAGCAAATGGAACTGTTCGCATATGTGCTGATTTTTCCACTGATCTGAATAATGCTCTAGAAGATCACACGTATCCACTTCCCACACAGGAAGATTTATTCATCAAACTAAATGGAGGAAAGTATTTTGCTAAAATTGACCTTGCTGACGCATATCTTCAGATAGAAGTCGATCCAGCCTCCCAACCATTACTGACCATTAACACCCACAGAGGTCTTTGCCAATATAAGCGTTTACCTTTTGGTGTGAAACCAGCACCAGCTATCTTTCAACAAATAATGGACACTATGTTGGCTAATTTGCCAGGAGTCGCTGTCTATTTGGATGATGTAATCGTTACAGGTCCCAGTAAGTCCGAGTTATTCAATCGACTCGATACTGTTTTAACCAAAATATCTGAGTGTGGATTCTATCTAAAAGAAGAGAAGTGTACATTCTTCATGAACTCGGTGAAATATCTTGGTTTTGTTTTCGACAAAAATGGACGACGCCCGGATCCGGAAAATGTACGAGCTATCCAAAATATGCCTCCCCCATCTAATGTAGCAACTCTGCGTTCCTTCCTTGGTCTTATCAGTTATTACAGTAATTTCTTGCCACAATTGCATCGCCTCCGGGCACCCATGAACCAATTATTATCCAGTAATGTAAAATGGAATTGGTCCACTAAGTGTCAAAAATGTTTTGACGAAGTAAAGTCATTATTAACGTCGGATCTACTTCTTACATATTTTGATCCTTCGCTGGAAATCGTTGTTGCTGCAGATGCTTCTGACTATGGTATCGGTGCCGTCATATCCCATAAGTTTCCAGATGGCAAAGAGAAGGCTATCGCACATGCTTCCAGAACATTGACTTCAGCAGAACGCAAGTACAGTCAAATTGAGAAAGAAGGATTGGCATTAATTTTCGCAGTAAAAAAGTTCCACAAGATGCTGCATGGCAGAAAATTTACCTTAATCACTGATCATAAACCCCTATTATCAATTTTCGGATCTAAGAAAGGTATACCAGTTTATACCACAAACCGCCTCCAACGATGGGCTACAATGCTACTGGGTTATGATTTCGTTATCAAATACAAATCTACCTCTGATTTTGGCCATGCTGATGCATTATCGCGCTTAATAAGCAATCATAAGTTTGAAAACGAAGATACTGTTATCGCTTCTATATCAGTGGAAGATGTAAGCAGAATGTTGTTTAATTCAACACAAATTCTTCCAGTGACAGCTGCTCGAATTGCTGAACACACTCGCCACGATCCTATCTTAAGACGATTATCTACATTTATCCAGCGTGGTTGGCCCCACGTATAACATCTCATGAACTGAAACAGTATTATCAACGACGCCAATCTTTATCCATCGTAAATGACTATATTATGGTTGCCGATCGCGTAGTGGTTCCGTATAACTTACGCTCACTCGTCCTGAAACAACTGCATACAGCCCATCCAGGTACTGGAAGAATGAAAGCTATTGCTCGAAGTTATGTATATTGGCCTAATATCGATGAACACATCGAAGATTTCGTGCTTGCGTGCAGAAAATGTGCTGAGGTTTCTAAGTGTCCACGAAAAGCTGAACTACATTCCTGGCCATCTCCAGAAGAACCTTGGTCGCGTATACATGTTGATTTTGCTGGCCTATTCCAGGGTACATACTTCCTCGTTTGTGTTGATGCTTATTCAAAATGGCCGGAGATTTTTCCTATAAATCAAATCACTTCGCAACAGACTATCATGAAGCTACGGCAGTTATTCTCCCGTTTTGGAGTTCCAAATGTTCTCGTGACAGATAACGGCACTCAGTTTATTTCTTCCATCTTCTCAGATTTCTGCAAGAGGTTTGGAGTCAAGCATGTCCGTTCACCTCCGTACCATCCAAAATCGAATGGTCAGGCCGAAAGGTTTGTAGATACCTTCAAAAGAGCGCTACTGAAGGCAAAAGGGGAGGGGAAGATAGAGGAGATCCTTGATAACTTTCTCTTGGTCTATAGAACAACTCCAAACCCATCAACACCAAATCAAATATCACCAGCAGAAATTATGTTTGGTAGAAAAGTAAGAACTGCTCTCGATGCCATAAAACCACAGCAAATAGACATCGGAAAAAGAAACAGAAAGATGGAAAACCAATTTGATCGCCATCATGGAGCAAAACGCAGAATTTTCCAAAAAAATCAAAAAGTATACGTCCGTGATTTCCGATATTCACCTCCACAATGGACCAGTGGACGCATACTTAAGAGACAAGGGAACGTAATGTATGTGGTGGAAGTTGAAGAACAGAAGTGGACACGCCATGTCAACCACATACTGGAAAATGCTGGCACTTCACAGAAAACTGAGAAATTGGACTCAATGTGGAGAATCATTCTGGACAGTTTCGACATAAAATGCTCAGCAACTCAGAAGACTGCGCAACATGAACAAGGTCCTATTAGGAAAGCATCACGGAAACGCAGAAGACCAGATATTCTACAGGTAGACCCAAAGAGGAGAACATACGTCTCCGAAGGAAGATATCAATGATGATATCTCAGCACTTACCTGTATATAGTAACTAACCATATTTTTTTTTCTTTTTTTTTAAAGGGGGAAGGTGTTATGAACGGGGAATTAAGAAGCCCAGACAATTACGAAAGCTATTTTCTTGGGACGTTATTGCATTTCATTCAAACCCTGTAAAATACTTATATTTATTTTTGTCCCTATCTTATTCTACATAACACGAGCTTTCGTTCTATGTATCATTCACTAGCATACCCTTTTTTGTTCCAAAAATATTGTAATTTAAACATTATATTTTGCACTATATTTTCTTCCCTAATTCCCTGTTTCGGGCATAACTGTATTTTTCCAAATTATCGTACGTCGTGGTCAAGATATGCACTTATTTATTCATGTACATTTTTGTAGTAATTCCGAATTCAGAGAATCCAGAGTTTAGTGTTCCAACTGTCTTGTCTTCTTCTCACTTGCGTGCTTGCCAACCAATCAGGATTTAGAATAGTTCTCTCTACCCCATCCCGAACTCACGCGTATTAGACTCAAGGTTAAGCCACTCAACGCGTCAAGGTCATAGTTTAGTCTAGACAGATCAAGGTGAAGTCATAACAAGTATCACGGGGTAAAACGATTCAAGGTCATGACATGTGTGAATCGGGATTGAGAATAAATCGAGTAGTGTTCCAGTCGTTTCGTCTTTCTCTCTCGATCGCGTGGATGTCAACCAATCAGGTGATGGAATAGTTTTTGTTCCTTCATTCAAGGCAGTTAGTCTCATTTCGAACTTACGCGTTTTTAGCCTCAAATTTATTCAGTCAGTCTATCGTATCAAGGCCTTGATCTAGGTTGAGACAAATTGTCTTCTGTGTATTAGTGAGTAGACAGGTGAAGGATGTAGTAAAAACGTCAATGAAATAATGATAGCTTCGAACTCTTCGACACAAAGCACACACACTTAAATCTAGATAGAATTCAAACTAGATATGTTCAGGTCTCATTAATAGTGTACAACCTTTCATTCAATGAGTTGTAGTTCAATCGTTCAGCGATTGCAGCTTCGAATTATTAATTACAGTGTAGAATTCTCAGCACAAGTTCACAGCATCGCAATTAATCTTTGTTCAATGGTGTTTGAATTAGTTGCAGGCTATAATAGTTGACTGTGTCAGTTGGTTCGATTGGATGGTTGGAATATGTATGTTGTATATACTGACTCTTGACTCATCTTCGAGCCCAAGGCAGGGAATAGAGAAAAGTCTCCATGTGGTGGACTAATCGGAGTACAGCCTGAATCGGTACAGGATTAACTGTACTGGTCAGAATGTATAATTGGTCAAGTCTGGGACACTAAGCAACAAAAGAAGTCGTAGACACTGAATAGAAAAACTTCTAACCAGAATTATGATTACTAAATTTAGCACGTGATATAGATTTACGTTTTAAGCCATAGCAACTAACTGTCATTCATTTTCATACGCAGGCATTTTTTAATCGTTTGCTGTTATAACACAAATTATTATCTTATACTACATATTTGTTGTATGAGATCCAATACAATTACTTCTCATTTCCATAGAGAAAATACGAATGGTAAATATTTCTCAGTAAAGATAAATGCACAATGTCGTGGATTGAATGATGTACGTTAATAACACCGTTAAATATCTGCTCAGTGGTCTGGATGTCAAGAATTCGCAAGCGAGACCGAAAATCCTGGATCTGATTCTGGCGTGCGGGGTCATTGATGCAGACCACTGAGGAGTCCCACACAGGGACGAAACGCACGTCTAATACTTTCAGGTTTTTAATGTTGGTCTAACATCAATCGGTTCATGATATCATTGAAATAAATGCTAAAATACACAAAATAATTCCCGTCATGACATGTTGTAAACTTCTTAAAGGAGCGCTTCAATAATTAGGCAGTTATTACACATTACTGGTCAGTTAAGATAAATCAGAACACAGTCACTCACTTGTGCAGTGAGCATTTGAATCAAACCGTACTAGGTTCCAGTCCAAGAGTTAATATTAAGCCACGCTGGGGTGCAGTTACACTCAACTAAGGACGAGTCCTAAAGAAGACGAAACGCGTGTCCTTGATTCCACTACTAGCTACCATCTATCTCTGCTTAAAATGCTTGTGATTTAATGACAGTATTAAAGCAATCCGTATAGAACGCACATAAGCCAGAATAGACTGATCAATTGCTGTCCTAAACATCCGTATGCATATAAATAAATTCCTTAAGCCTCAAGGCATTCGACTTTCAATGGTTTAAATGAATAATTTTCCTGATTAGCGTTTTTTTCTAACAAGATTCTTTTTTATGGGATAGGGTTACTAACCTTATTCTCAACCCTTATCACTTTATCCTGGTTTAGAATCGGCAGTACCCCTAGAAAGGCTTCAGACGAAGTCTTCAAATTCATACAATTCAGTAAACTCCTGACAAAATGTCTCATAAGCAGGATAGGAATATTCTTACTTCAAAAAAATGCCAAAAATGGAATGAATAGTCTCTTTAACTAGAAAGAAACATTGTAGACTTCAAGATAACAGAGACTAAAGGTACTGTTGTGATGAACGAGAACACAGATGGGGATAACCAATTGTATTTTAACATTAAATTACAGGGTTCTTTCATGAAATGTGAAAACCATAGGTCTAATACTTCATTTGCAAATGCTCTATCAATTGTCTCAAACTTCATCGTTCCTTCATTACCACAACAAATGCTTTCTGTTCCTGTTCTCTTCGATTTGATCTTCCCAACCTTCTACTTCTAAAGCATTTCACTTTTGATCAGTCTTCCATACTACTTATGTCAACATAAGTAGTATACACCACACTGTCACACATCATAAGAAACCTAAAGTTGCATGTTAAGTAGATCAACAGAAAATCAATTGCAACCTAATGTTATGCTTTGAAAAATTTGGAATGATCTGAAGTTTCTATGGAAAAACAAAAGCCTTGATAGCTTACTTTCATCTGTTGGATTTGATCGATACACTGTTGTGAATTATCTTCATAAGCTTTGTATATGGAATTCAAAGCGTTTTGATTCATTTCATCTATTGAATAAATAGTAAAGGTAGTTTAGTTTAGTTTATACTTTTCGTAAACTAAATATGCTGTGTCATTTAAAACATCTTCACTTACACTGTCCATTCTCATTCGATATCTTTTGCTAACTTTCCTCACTTTTCTATCATATGCAGCACAACTCTCATTCAATATTTGGATTGTATGGTGCATTACCTCAATGCCTCGAATTCACACGTCTCTTTTTCAACAGGTGTCGCCAATGATTGAATGATGTTTCCACTAACTACTAACATCAATCATCTAAGTCCGATCAACCAACGTCGTCCATACCACACTTGCTAGATACAAGAGCATCTGTTTCAAAATATCATAGTTGACCACTTATTCAAACATAGTTAAATGTCACTTGATTCGACTTGGTTTAATCGTATCGACACATATTTTATTAGTTTGTCACACAGCAGTTTCATGCAATTGATTCCCTTTATGAATTTAAATAAAGCAAGAACAAATAATGGTGCAGAATAGTATGAATTCATATTATTTCGAGGTTTCTGGTCAGCTGCTTACAAACCAACAGCGCAATAGCTCGACATCTACTTGACACCGGGCACACCATCGAGATTCCACATGCTTTCAAAATTATCAATAGACAAAGAAGTACGACCACCCTCCGTTTTGCTGAAGCCATCATGATCAAAAAACTTAAACCTGACTTATGCATCCAAAAAGAGACTTTAATTAACTTATCATTACCCTGGTAACCCCTTTTTATTTTATTATTTATTTATTTATTTTAAAATATTTATACTCCTCCCCTATTACATAATTCTTAAACCACATTATCATTCACACATGTCCGCCACCTGATCCTCTTAAATTATCTTAACTTTTCAAATTCTATTTTATTATTATTACGTAACCTATCTTATAATTATTCAATTCCGTTATTATACCACCCAACCCGAATTAATTCCTTTTGACCTCTGACCTGTTCTAGCATATATACATATATATATATATAATTATTATTGTAACCCAGTTATTTACACTCATCTATGTCATTTGTTTTCACTATATCTCAATGTAAAAATTCTATCACAATTTTGGTTTGTAAGCAGCTGACGAGAAACCTCGAAATAATATGAATTCATATTATTCTGCACCATTATTTGTCCTTGCTTTATTTAAACACAGTAGTTTTATGTATTACTTACGATGACATTATTTTCTTCAGTTTAAAGTTATTAGCCTTCAGGTTCAATTACAGGTTTGTACAGTTGAGGAGTCCCAAAATTAAAATGAAACAGCTACTGAGTGGCTTCACTGGGGGGGGGTCATACCTAGGTCTGTCAGATCTTCAGAGCAGTACTTAATCTACAGACCATTTGGTTGACTTTCAATGATTTACATCTCTAATCCTAGTCAATTTGCGATAATGCTCAACCATGTAAATGTTTGTATGTTGGTTTTGAACAGTTATCTAAATAAATTCGGTTCTTTAAAGTGGTTTGAGGTAACCGACAAGAAACTCCGAACCCTTGTTTTGTGCTATTTCGGCATTCATGATTAAGGTATACCTATAATCTTGAGAGAATTGGCTCTCTCTAGCAAACTTGATCCTGTGTCACTCAGCTTCACAGCTTGAAACATTATCGCTGAGCTATTTGGGTCGTGACTGACCTCCTTCAGGAATAATTTTTCACAATTGACCAATTTCTATTTGGTGACCACTGTCATGTTTGTCAAGTCTAGTATCAAATTCACCAGAGATCATCGACACCTTTAAAATCACAATGACACTTTACTGATGAGTGGGAAATACTATGAAATTTAGATCGAGCAGGATTTCTTGTCGATTATCTCCAATTACTACCTTACATCTTAACATACTGCATGATATGTTGAGTCACTTAGACTAGTAACTATATTGTAATTTGATCGATAAAATTCAATGAGAACTAAGAAGAACTTGAAAGGTAACATACCCCAGTCAGTAAATAACTGTTTAATTTTAATATCCCAATTTTCTAGAAATTCTTCCATATTATTTGATGGTACCAAATTTTCACTAGATAGAAAATTATTGAAAATATTTAATAATCTGTAAGAGGATTAGCAATAACAAATAATTTTAATCAGAAAGAGGGTTTCATAGAGATTGTAGTAATTTCAATAGTTGAATTCATGAGCCAATTGAAGCTACACCACCATGGAAAACCTGGAAGCACTGGACGGCTGTTTCGTCCTGTTGTGGGACCCCCCAGCAATGCACATCCACGACCCCGCCTCGCGGGACTCGAACTCAGGACCTATCAGTCTCGCACCAGGCGCTTAACCAACTAGACCACTGAGACGGCATTCAACGGTGTTAATGTCTAACTTCAACTAACCCACGAAATTGAGCGACAAATCCACCATTGTCATCAGTGAGTTACTACCACACAACTGACCCGGTTGAACTCCACTAGTCACTATTTCTCACTAAAACTCCAAGATATATATCTTGAAGCCAGTCACTAGTGAGCATATGTTAATTAGTATCAGAAGGGGTTTTGTGGAGATTGTAGTAATTTCAACAGTTGAAATCATGAGTCGATTGAAGCTAGACCACCATGGAAAATCTGCAAGCACTGGACGGCGGTTTCGTCCTATTGTAGGACTTCTCACCAGTGTGCACACAAATTAAATTACTGTAATATCTTAAAATCCCCTCTGATTATAATCATCATATGCTCACTAGTGACAGTCTCCAAGACGTATTTCCTGGAGTTCTAATGACGTCACTGTATTTATAACAAAACCAGAATGTAGAAATATGTGCTTAAGTAAGTATGAATGACACCTCTGTACTACCTGATATTCTTCTTATGAATGAAGCTTTATAAATTGTATTAATAAAACTATTCACGTATTTGTTATATCCCAACGAGAACAATGAATGGTAACTGTTGGGATCCATTTCTAGACTAATGCTATACATACATTCTTATTGTATAATTGTTAAGTAGGTAAACTATTCATATTCTTGTTCCTCTTATTATAAGCTTTATATCGATCTATACACTGTTATTATACGATTTACCGTTCGAGAGTTATGCTTACTCTATTAATTACAGTCTACCACATTCACAGCCACTTTTGGTTAAATCTTGTACATATGTGTATTTTCTATTTTGTGGTACTATATGGTCTGTTTGTTTCAAATATAAACCCAGTATGTTTGAAATGCATGATTAAGATCGTAGAGGCTGAGATTAGTGTTCTGGACTTAACAGTTAAGCCTAGGCGGGAAGCAAGACCGATAAGGACTTTAGACTGCTGATGCGGTTTTGTGCGTCATTGTTCCGGTCGATAAATTACTGTTCTCTAATTGGCAGTATCATTACGTTTATATATTAATACAACATAAAGCTACAAGATATAACAGTATTTAGTTTTGAATATGATCGTCTTTTATGATGTCTGATGACATATTTAGTCAATCAGTTAATCAAACACAACATAGAACATGACACATATGTACATCGACTGAATTTCCCATTACCCCATTACCACAGCTAGATATAATTATCATTTGAAGATGAAATGATGGATAACTATAACCTATAACCTGTTGAGGATGTTAGATCCCCAGAACTCACTTGGTAAGTACCTTATTTTTGTAATTTTATTTTAAAAATCTTAATTCCCTTTTTTTCCGCCAAAAGCGCTCACTTTCACCTTCATGTTGTATTTCCCACTTGGAAGAATCTTAAACGCTGTTGGTTCGTTGTATCTTTTAGTACGCTATTTTGTAACGCTTCCTGTTATAACTCTGATTTCTTACGGTAATGACCCAGCTATTCCTATTGCTTAGTATTCTTGGACACTGATTCACTCGACAAGTCCCCAAATCAGAACACGGTTGAACAGGGAGGAGATTATATTCCAAATAAGAAGGTTAGATGGAAGCAAGAAGCAAGTCAGAAGCACAAGAAGGAAAAACGTCAGTATATTTATGGTTTTTAAATAAGAAGATTCCAGAGTATTCTCCAACTATCGACTAGTGCTGATTGGATAAGAATTAGCCAACCAGCGTGCACCAAAGCAATCATGCATTGAGCATGCTTTAATCTAGTCTATGTCCCGCTAACACTTCCCAATGACAATTTTATGCTTTATATATATACGTTCGATTTGTGCCTGTTGTTAATGCTCGTGCTTCTGGCTGCTTGCAGAATATATTTCCCCATTCCAATCTTAGACTTCTCTCCCTAGTTTTCGAGGCTGGGACGCATCAGAATAGCTAGTTTATTGGTCTTTAGTCACAGAGTCTTTGTTCCGTCCACAGACTAGGTGAACTCATAATCGATTCAAACATATAGCATAAGCAAATATTTAAATATTTCACAAAATAAGATACTTACCATATTT